TTACCAACTGGATCTGAGAAATAGTAAATTTTGCGAGTTCATTGGATTTACAGAGAAAATTGTGAAGAAAACAGATTATGGGACAATTCTTCCCAATATCACAAATTCCATTGATATGATCTATATCAATACAGACGGCATTACGAACAGCATATTGAATGGTGTTAATACTAATACGTTAGCCGTCATTCCAACTGACAATTTGACAAGAAGTTTCCCATTCACATTTGCACCCAGAAGACTATTGTTTAATGAAGTTTCCCAACTAAATATCAGTCAAATGAGGTTTTATAACACAGACTCACTGGGGCGACCAATTGGACTAAATAAGATTGACTGGTTTATGACATTGATATTGCATAATATGTAACCTAATAATATACAATGAGACAATCAGAATTTAAGAGACGTTATGATGTTAAAACGGGGAGATGTGTTAAGAAGCATATTTATGGAGAAGGTGTTACCGATGTTTTCAAAACGATTGGTAGAAAGCTATTTGGAAAGACCATGAAAGAGGCTGCTAAAACGGCAACAAAAAAGGCCGTTCAAAAAGCTGCTATCAACACTGGTGAATATGCTGGCGAAAAAGCGGGCGATAAAATTATTCAATTATTGAGCAAAAAGAATAAAAAGACACCGGTAGCAGCATCACCAGTAGCGACAACACCAACAAAAAATCCACAAAAGGAACTTACCGATTACGAAATGAATGAGAGGGTAAATCAATTATTATCCAGGGGTCAGATGAGAAGATTTATGTAATCTATTATTATATGAAATCTTTTAGAGATCCAAACTATCTTGAACGATATGAAGATGTTATTTTTGACTTAGAAACAGCACTAAATACAACTGTCGCCAATAATTGTCACCAAAAGAAAGATGGCTACAGATTTGTTGTTGATAACAGCGGAGAGGTTACACCATTTGACTGGTATAATGCTCGTATCATTCTTGATTTTAAAGTAGACTTGCTGGCTAATGGAGGTAATATTGCACTAGCAGATCATAATGGTATTGTAAACTGGTCGTACTCATTCTTGAAACATTTTGATATTAAGCTCAATGGCAAAAAAGTGTATGATTGTAATGACGCGAATCACGCTGTAAATATTAAGAACTTACTTGAGTACAGTCCATCTTACGCTGAACAAACCGCCAGCAATGAGTTTTTCTATCTTGATACAACAAGACACCCAGAGGAAACAAGATTCACTAAAAGACGAGTAATTCATAGAGGAAATGCTGCCAATAATGCCGATGATGCAGGATTAATGTTGGATGATGTAGTAGCTAATTATAATAAAGGTTTTGCCCTTCGAAAAGCAGTCTTAGGTACTTCATCTACAGTAAACACTGAAATACCACTGAACAGATACTCGTTTTTGGACATGTTAGAAGATGAGCTGTTACCCAATACAAGGGTTGAGATGAATTTTGAGATTGAGTCAGATAGTAATCTAATTTGGCAAGCCGGGGCTTATTGCCGAGTGGTTATCACTAGGATGCAATTGTACGTTCCACGGATTACATTTAACAGTGAAGGCCAATCATCCTACATGAGTCAATACCTTAAAAATCATAAGTGGACTTATTTAAGAGAGATTAGAGAAAGATCAAATAGCAGCCAGCAGAGAGCTGGGCATTTCAGAATCTCTTCTGGTATTTTGAAACCCCGACACGTGTTTGTGTTTATAATCAATGATGCGAATATTGATGTCCAGACAGCTAATCCATTCTTGTACAATACATTCTCTGTATCAACTGACCCAAGAACCTTATCCAATTGTCACTTGGAAGTTGGAAACGGAAATGAATACTCCGAGATACATTACACACCAACTACTGATATGACTAGAGTCTTCAGGGATGTTCTGAAATATGTTCACAAAAATAATGAATACGGTGAAGGGTCATTACTCAATAAATCTAATTTTAGTACGCTATTCCCCTTCCTATATTTCGACCTTACAAAACAGAAAATGGACATTAAGGATGGCACTACAAAACTGACATTTAAATATGAGCTGTCTGGAACAACGGCGGCAGCCTACTCAATTTACGCATTAACATTATACGAACAAGATGTTGAGCTAATACAGAAGGATGGCAAAATAATACTCAGATCGTAAATTATGTAACGTATAATTATATATTAGTAATGACGAAATATTATCCTTATGGTGTGTCACTTAGTAAAGGACAATTGGAAAAGCTTTCGAGAGCTTATAATAATAACTCAGCAATAACTATCAGATTAGCCAGAAATGAATTATCCGGACCACATGAATTAATGCTCACAAAATCTCAGATCAATAAATTGAAAAAGGCAATGAGCCAGGGTACAGGGTCGGATATCAAAATATCGAAAACACAAATCAGAAAGGCTGTTAGACAGGGTGGTAGTTTATGGGGGTCATTAACCAGGTTACTACCTATGGCAATGCCATTAGCCAAAAAAGCCATCGCACTGCTTGCAACAGGAGCGTTATCGGGATTAGCCAGTCTCGGTGTGGATAAAATATTCGGAAAAGGTCAACGAGGAGGTTTTCTTATTCCAATGGACAAAATAGCACATTTGGTTGCATATAAACATTTACTGAACACAGGCCAGAAAAAAGATATTCTTAATGCTCTCCAAACTGGTAACGGATTAGTTATCAGACCGACAAAAAAACAGCAGGGTGGTTTTTTAGGAACTCTATTAGCGAGTATAGGTGTACCCCTGTTACTAAATGCATTGGCGGGAAAAGTACTGCAGGCTGACAGAACTGGTTCCGCTAATACAACATCTGTTTATGTTCCCGATACAACTAATGGTCATGGAATGTATCCCTACATGTCACCACCTTTCTTTGGAACATGGGAAAATCCAGTTGGTATGGGAGTAAAAAAAAAAGAAAGGGAAAGGGACTGCTGCTCGGAAAAAACAGCCCATTCAATTCAATCCCAATTCTAGGAACAATACTGTAAGATTCATAAATAAACCATTATCGAACATTGATTTATTACAATGGGTCAAACAATTAGGAATAAAATATTTTAGGGGTATCTACAGCCGTGATAAATTAGCCAGACAAAATACACAAATTGGAAACAGGAATAATTAATCTTGTTGATTCAATGGGCGGGGGCAGTCATTGGATTTGTTATAGAAACATGGATAAGCAATATTGTGAATATTTTGATCCCTTCGGATTAATCATGCCCAATGAAATAAAAAAGTATCTGAAAACAAGCGGTAAAAAAATGGTGTGCTCATCAGATGAAATACAAGAAAGGGACAGTGTTTTGTGCGGTTATTGGTGCTTATATTATCTTCTAGAGCGACAGAAGGGAAAATCATTATTAGATGTTATACACAACCCCAAATTCAGTTTTACAAATCAGCTCATAAATCACCAATTTCTGATAAACTATTTTATGTAACACTATTATATATGACTGAAACGTTTTGTGTTTATTGCCAAGAAGTTACTCCACATTATGTAAATCAATATGGATGTTTCAAGTGCTGCAACTGTGAGCCTTTGAGTAAGAGTGATTATGAGTCAGATAGCAGCCATGATACTTATGTTCCAGACGGTAGTGATAGTGAATAAACCTCTCTAGGTAACAGCGTGAAACACGCAGTTGGTCCATCTTTATTACCCCAAAAGCTACCCCGTGGTTTCTACGGGTCAGGTCCCAGACCATTTTTATATAACATAAATATATAATAATGGTGAAATCTTATTGTGTTAAACAGAAAAAGCAAACGGAATGTGTAGAACCTTCGGGTTATAAAACTGCCAAAAATGGTAGACTTATGTTTTGGTGCACTTGTGCTGAACACGGAATAAAAAAGTTTAAGTTTGTAAAGAAGGGAAACTAGGTCAGCCTGTCCTAGGGGCAGGCATAATGGACACAGTAGCTGGTACTGCTCTTGATGCGTTTGTACATCACGGGCTTCCTTGGATGGGTAAAAAAGCAGTTGAGATGGGGAGATATTACAGATCAGAAGCGCTCAGAAACCCTAAATTACAGAAAAAAGCTATAGATTATGCTTTGGACAAATTAAATCCAATGATCCAGAATGTCGGTTCTCAAGCTCTTCACCAATTATCAACTAAAATACGACCAAAGAAAAACTACAAAACTAACAGAAAAGATTTGGATGGAGGTGCTATAGATATCCACAAGCAGATTGGTAAATTACCAAGACCCGCAGGTGGTTGGACTTTACCAGGACATTGGTATACACGCCCTTACAACGATCTCGAAAATCAAGTCAGATACAATCCAGAAACTGGTGAAATATTATAAATTTATGATCAACCAACTGGGCTAACCGATGCCGTGGCCATGCAGCACGATGTTGATTATAGTGTTTGTGGTGATAACCGAAAGTGCAAAAATATAGCTGACCTTAAAATGGTAAAATCGTTAGACGCCATTCCTTATAATGAACGACAGTGGGGTCAATGGTTAGCTAGAAATATAATAAACACAAAACAAAGACTTGGTCTTGGTTTAAACTAGAAAAGCCGTCGGGTAGCAGTTGGCAACAACCATTAGCGGACAAATTACATAAACCAATAAAACGCAACTTTACTCGGCGGCGTGTTATTACAACCGGTATTGACAAAATTTGGTGCTCAGATCTGGTTGAGATGCAACAGTTCAGTAAATGGAACAAAGGTTATACATATTTTCTTATTGTACTAGATCTATTCTCCAAATATGGCTGGATTGTCCCACTGAAGGATAAGAAAGGGGAAACTGTCACAGAAGCATTCAAAACCATCTCCAAGAGGGCCGTAAACCACAATATCTTTGGACTGATAAGGGGAAAGAATATTATAACAAAAATATGAGGGAACTATTGGAAAAGTATAATATAACACTATGTTCAACCAAGAATGAGGAAAAAATCTAGTGTATGTGGAAGATGAAACCGTACAATTAAAACCAAAATGTGGAAGCAGTATAATAACACCAAACACAGTTCCATTAAAATGACTCCTGTAGAAGCTAGTAAGAAGAAGAATGAAAATGCCGTATATTACAATCTGTATGGTGATATGAAACAGTTGTCATCTGAGCCCAAATTCAAGGTTGGTGATAAAGTTAGGATAAGTAAGTACAAGAGAAAAGTGTTCGATAAAGGGTACACTCCTAATTGGACAGAGGAGATATTCCTTATTGATAAAATCCAATCCACAAACCCAATCACATACAGATTAAAAGATCTCAATAATGAGGAAATACAAGGCAGCTTTTATGAGCCAGAATTACTACCAGCAAAACAGGATGTATTTCGCATTGAAAAGGTCATTCGGAGGGATTATAAGAAGAGACAAGATCTTGTAAAATGGTTGGGCTATAGTGACGACTTTAATGGTTGGATTCCACTGAGCAGCTTGCAAAAAATTACTCTAACTAATAGTATATATGGACGATCATATAAGAAAGCTTGATACTAAAATCCAGAGTAAGGAATCCGAGCTCAATGCACTATTCACTAAAATCCAAAAATTGGAAGAAGAGATTGCGACATTATACCACAAGAAATTAATCTCCAAAAAACTGGAATCAGCTGAGATGACATTAACAGGCGTTTTAGGTGCAATCTTTGAAACGGAAGAGAAGGAGTAAATTGCCAGGGCCCCATTTCGGGTCCACTGGGTCCAAAGTGTTGCCGTACCCAATCTGTGACAGCAACAATACCTGGCGTAACAGATTGTGACGGCAGGTCCAAACACAGAATTGTTGGGGTGGTGAAACGCCCCCTCAACAAAATGACACTAGAGGAAAATAAATTGCGGCAGTTTTGTTAGGGTGGTAAAACGCCACCTCAGGTCTAATGTGCCAAAACGGCACCTCAGGCCTAGCAAACTTTTTAATCGATCATTCTTTTCATATAATATGGTCTGAATGATGATCTTTTTTATGTAACCTATATATATGAAAAGAATGATTGAAAAAAAGTTTGCTAATGAAGATTTAGAAATTGAGCTGACATCATATATTGATGATAAGCAAAATGTTTGGTTCCAAGGAAAGGATGTTGCTGCTATTGTCGGTTATAGTAATTCAAGAAAAGCTTTGAAAGATCATGTTTCAGAAGAGCATAAACAGCTAATTTGTTGGGGTAACGATTCGTTACATCAACAAAATATCGATAATAGAAACAAATGGTGCACCTTTATTGATGAAGCTGGTTTTTACGAACTTGTATTTAGTTGCAAATTACCGGCTGCTAAAAAGTTCCGCGATTGGGTATTCTCCACTGTACTCCCATCCATCCGCAAATACGGCCAATACAAACTATTTGATAGTCCCTGGAATAAGATGATCATGATTGGTAATGAGACTGACCTCCATTGTAAAGGAGTGAACCTCATAAGGAGATATTATCCAGATTCCATATTAGTAGCAGGTCTCGGAGAGAATCAAGATACTGATGACAAACTCCTGGATTCATATAAGAAAGGATATATGAGAGGACAGCCTGATCTAATGGTACTCGATTATCACAAAGATTATAAGGGCCTCTGTTTTGAAGTCAAATCACCAACTAATAATTATCATGTAAGTAAAGCACAATATGAGTTGATGGAAAAATACAGTAATAATAACTATAAATTGATGCTAAGTAATGACTATGATGAAATCTGTTTAGAAGTACATGATTATATGAAAGGTGTCAGACTGCCGTGTAAATATTGTATCAGACATTTCCATAACACTGACACACTAGAAACCCATTACAGGGTTATCCACAGGATTATCTAATTATTTAGTATATGAATGCTGACCAATTATTAGACAACTGTAATGAACTCCAAAAGATAGAATTACGAAAAAATCTGAATACATATACGCTCAAAGAGCTCAAAAAAGAAATCATCAAAATGAAAGGTGATAAGTTTGCTGTTACAAAAATGAAAAGACGACAGATTATCGAATGAATTGTACGGTATCATTATATTTTTCCTCATTTATTGACAAAACAAGGTTCCAAAGGTACCAAACGAAAGGGTAATAAACAAAAACCCAATTTACCGCAACTAACACATATGCCTAATTATTCAACAAATTCTGTTGCGCCATCTAACACACAACTACCACCATTAGCACAGAAACATCTTGAAAATTTGTATAAACTAACTAACTAATCACGACTTTAATATACCGTTTCACAACCACATAAGCAAACACCTCCATGGTTATTAATTATGTCATCAATTATTTCATCAACTTGATGGTCATGTATATTTCCATTTTCTCGTAATACCGAATCCCGTACTCCCAAATTTATGTTTGGATTGTAATATTCTGTACGTTTAAATTCTCTGTTTGATCTTTCCCAGTTTTCATCTTGGGCACTTATTACTGGATCATAATCGTATTCTCCAACTGGTCCCCAAAATTCATTATATTCTTCTTCTGGAATTCCGGTTTCCATTCGGGCCTCGATATAGTTTGGCAAATAATATCGTGTCTTAAACTTTTTCAATAGCTTCCATTTAATTTCTGGATTAGGAGAATATTCTGGGGCAGGAAGATAACAAGCAAAACATTCCAGTGGATTATCTGAAAATTCAAACATTTCATCTGCGTCATATGGTGGGGATGAAATATTCTCTGTATTTATTATTCCTTGATAATTAACTGTTTCCTGGATTAATTCGCGTTCACTAACTTTAACTTCATCAATATACTCAAAATTTAACTTCTCAGTTGGTTCTGTAATTATTTCCTGTTCACAAACTTCCGCTAAATATATTTTACTTGAATTTTCAGGTTTTTGGTAATAATCATCTTTATTGAGGAAACTTTTTCACAAAAGATATGGTTTTCAAAAAGGACCTCAAAACTAGATACATATTATGAAAACAAAAAAAGCTATAAAATTGCAAAGGGATTAAAAAGATAGAAAAAATGCATAAAAAATTAAAAATAAGTATAAGTAAAAATTAAACGTAAGTAGCTATATAAAAAAACTTAAAAACATTACGTTTAAAACTATTTACATTCCTTGAGTCTTTGATCGTCTGACTGAGGGAGTTAAAATCGGAAACGGCATGATATTGTGTTCTTTGCTTCCCCCAATTTCTTTTGACACGTGGTAATCTAAAATTGCCTTTGTTACGTGTATTATGCCTATGGAGTACGTCTTGTCTAATCAAGTCCATATCGTGATTAATTAGGCCATTGATGCATTTGTATACGTGTACACACCTTCTTTGAAATCGCCTTTTCTCTAGAGGCAGCCACTTGAGAACGGCCAATGCCTCAGTGGAGGATGAGTACAATGGTCTATTTAAAATAACTTTAGCGGCCTTATTTTGCAAAACTTGCAAACTAGACATAAGGGTAATATTATGTTTATCGCCCCATACTAGATCAGCATATTCAAAAAGGGGCATAATAAGACTTTCATAAAAAAGTAGATGAGCCCTGAAAGGCAATAAATGCTTTATACGCTTGAGAAGCCCAAGCCTCTGATTGATTTTCCCAGTTAGGTGTTCAATATGATCAGTCCATGTGAAATCCGAAGATATATGTATACCGAGGTATTTAAAGCTGCGAACATTACTTATACTATGATCTAAAATTGAAACAGTCAAATCTACTTTGCTTTCGTGTTTAGATAAAATTTCAGAACCCTTACAACAAACTGGGCATCATTAATTTTAACTTCAACAACAGTATTTGGCGCAAGATTTACAATAACTTCAGTACCAAAATGATACAAAACAACTGGCTTAACACAACTCTGACTTTGACTTTGACTCATTATACTATATTATATCGGCATTTCTTTAAGTACCTTTCGTTTTGTTCAATTAATTAGCAAAAAATAACCAGTCCAAACCGCCCAAAACCAGTCTCATAAATGCTGACATCAGCAAGAATCCCAAAATCTCTACTGGGTGTGAAAAACGGGTCTTCCGGCCATCGTAGTCTTATCCACAATAAGCCCCTGAGAGTCCAAAACACGGTCTTGATCACTTTCAGAGGCAGCTAAATCAGCTAAAACAGATTCAGGATCAACCACAATCGGTCGAAAAGGCTGCAAAACAGGATTCTCAGGATTTTCCTCAGGATCATCATCAGAAGAAGACGAAGAAACATCACTCATATGCAAATCAGCATTCACATCAACTTCAGGCGATTGCGGGGCATTAGGTTGCTCAGCTCACGAGGCGTTAGGTTGTTCGGATCGCGACGAATCCAGATCGCGTTGCCTATACCACGAGAAGGGACAAGTATGCGCCAGATGTTGCCCACTTTTACAAATACAGCAATACATTGGCTTCACACAATCGCGGATGGTGTGCCCTAAACCATCGCAATTAAAACACACTGTATTTCTGCAATTGGCCGCTTGATGACCTCGTCGATTCCAACAACGACAAGTAGGAGATTGGCCATCATGGTACAAACGAATAAGGAATTTTTCAAAACGCAAAAAACTTGGATTGAATTAAGAACACGAACATGAACACGAAAGTGACGCAAGCCATTGAAGACACCGCTGTGCGCGTGGAAGGTGCCGCAGCGATACCAGAGAACTTCACAATAGGGTCTCAAACGATGAATGATAGCAGCATCGGGTAATTCATATGGAGCATCGTAGATAGTCAGGAAAGCCATTGAGCCCTCTGCATCATTTGCTACATGAGGTTTGCCAAGTAACGAAAAAGAACCCTGTTGGATAAACCTGTCACACAAACTCTCGGTACGGAACGTAACATAAATTTCGCCCGAAGGCTTGGGCTGTGAACAGCGAATATGCTCGGTGGTAAAGCGGTCGTCATTTAAAGCTTTAAAAACCTCAGCTGCTGAGACAAACTGGCTCGCACGGAAATAGGCAGAGCATGGCCTCTCCGGAGTTACATTCTCTGAATGAAAGTTATCCTTCTCAAAGTCAGTCAAAAGCTTGTCCTGGCCGCCACGTGGTCGAGTAGAACGGCTATACGAAACATTAGTCGGCGCTTTCTCGACATGCAAGGAGTCGAAGTACTTCCTCTCAAGCTTATTAACTTCATCGATAAATTCTTCATTGAATTCCTCAAAGTTGTCATCCGCGGACACATCTTCATATAATTCAGCAGTGTGAATAGATTCATCAATAGAGCTAACATCCGAGCCATGATCATCAACAACAACGCGGTCATCTGATCCCCGAGGGATTGCCGCGGCGAGAGGGTCATTTACATGTAGAACACGTTCAGGCATGACAGCGAGATAAAAACGGGATAAGCGTAAAATAAAAACTTACTCTATCTTGCCGCCAGCCGAAAACACTACAATATCTCTTCTAAACTTCTTGATTGAATTCCTCCACAACAAGAGAAAAAAGGGATCGCACTTGCACTTAGCCAAAAGGCCGAGAAACGATGCCTCTTTAGGTCCTCCGGAC